GTCAAAGGTCACATCCTGGCGCTTCGAACGCTCTTTGCGTCATCGCAAGTAGTGCGCGTGCGCTAACCGAACGCCTCAAAGGAACTTGGTGTGAAATACACACATAGAACGTGTCCTCCCCAGAAAAGTTTCCCTTCTAGCTCTGCTGAGGACGATTACCCCCAGGTCAATTGCCATACACCCCTCCCCCTCTCGATTCCCCACAAGTCATTTCCCCCGCCTGTAATCTGACTAATGGTAGGCGTTACAATTGCTTAAGTACATGGTTGCCAGACAGTGGTACCAAGCAAACTCCCCAAATTTAAGCTTTGGCTTTTTAGACGTGCTCTTAGGTATTTTTTAATCTGTTTTATTTGTTGTACTGGTATCTTTATTGCGTTAGCCAAACGGGTTGCAAATGGATATGTCTTGCAACAAATGCAAATATGACTGCAATCTGATATTAGAAAACGTTAAAATCGGTCTATCCCGAGTTGGTTTGAGCGAAATGAGGGTAAGATAAAATACGTCCCCATCTAGTGTCACTTTGTGCATGGGGGAGGGGGGTGGGTGGGGCGGATTATTCACTGATGTTTGTTGGCCCGGCGGTGTGCAGCTTTTTCCCAGCCCGGCTTCTGTAGGGCTTCTTGTAGTTCGCACGTCATCATCATCATCATCATCATCATCATCATCGGTAGTCCGTATTAGTCGTGGTTATACCGCCCCTTACGAGGGGACATACCCTTTCGTTAGCTTAATACAGGACGGGGTTCGCCAGGCCTCTGTCCAGGTGATGATGTAAATCACCATGTGTGGTGATATAATGTGGCTGATACGAAACAGAGGTTTACAAGGCCTCCATTTTGGTGATTTAAAGTAAATCACTAACTCCATACAGTAGCGTTTGTACCATCGCAAACCGGGGCATGCCCCTATTCTTTTTCGAAAGGTGCGGTGAGTTCTTTAACGTGCGTGGGTTGTGGCTCTCACCAAACACGGGACCTCCAGTTAACGTCCTATCCCCGCGACGTCCCTAGCGGAAGCTAGGTACTCATTTCCAACTGAGTTAAGGGAGGAAAGTCGTGTTTATTGCCTTTCCCTAGAGCACAGGATCGGTAACAAGGTGTGGTTCGAACCCGCGACCTCTGGGGACTGTTAGACGAACGCGCTACAGATTGCGGTACACGACCCCACGCACGTCGCACACGTGAAGACCCGGGAGCAGTTCTTGGTTTACGATTGATCACATAGCCTATCATAGGTAAGGTATAGCGGTGACAGCTTGCCAACAACTATCCCCACTCTCCCCACCATCCATCAGCAGACCGGAGGCAGAAAGCATCCGACGTCCTGTCCAAGTTAAATAGTCGCATTCGTTGACGGTATAGGCATGCAGTGCAAGATCTGGAACGCACTAACCAGCACGAAGGGCCAGGTGCATCCACTCTCAACCTTAGCCGGTTGGAAGGTAGAGGATCAGCAATACAAGGACACCGACAAAGGAAACAGTCAGTGAACTAAAAATATAACCACGGACAGGGAGACATGTCCAGACACCCCCCACAGCACAAGTGTTTTGTGGGAGGGTGGTGGTGCAATAGCCTAGTAGGTTACAATTCTACCTATCCAGCAAACAGAAAAACAAAAGGAACTAAAAAACACTGTTATCCCTGTCTAAGCATTCTCTGGGAGAAAATATAGGCCACAAGGGGCCACCCTCATGTAGAATTCAGTTGGATTAAAAATGCGAGTGGAGGCATCTCCTCAGAGGCTAGGGTGCCTTCTTGGATTAACGGAGTTATTAATAGTATAATGATGAATAAAAACCGGAGATGGGTGTACATTTAAGGTTGGAAAATATCTCCGCTCATAGACCCCGTTATTTTGCCTCTGTCTTGAGCCTTTGGCCTTGTGTCCCCGCCCAATATATCTCATTCATATCTTAACCCGAACTGAGGTCAAAGTGACGAGGGATCTGATACTGTCAAGAAGCGTAAACAGACCCAGGGCGTAAGCTTCAGTATACTGCTCAAGGCACGCAGAACTGTTTTGATCACAAAAAAATGGTATACGATACTCCAAACGTTTGTCTGCAAATTCTCTTCCCACGGTGCGTTTCCACGAATGCATGACTATGTCATGTCCATTTTGACAGGTGATGCACGCTATGAGGCATTGAACTTTAAGTTTTTGGCTATGAGGCATTGAACTTTAAGTTTTTGGCTTGTTTTCACACGCGTTTCTACTGGTAACAAAGTATCACCTGTTCTGCCATCGTTTGAACCTGTCAAAATGGACATGCTCTCTATCTGCACAAACAAGCGTGCAGCCATAATTAATACACGTTAAGGTGTTACCAACATTCTAACCTGTTCTGTTCGCAATCTTGTCAACACGGACAACCTTTCATGCACCCACAATGCAAGCTCTTGTCTCATTCCTCCGGCAAATGTTTTTTTTTTATAAGACATAAAAAGTACTAGTAAATAGACAAGACATTGTGACGGGCCTAAACACATGGCCATTTCGCCACCTAAAGATTTTATCTACCATTCCTATCATAACTTTTAAAGTTCGCGTTGCGAGAAGCTGAAAA